AACCAAATCTAAATTTGTCAATAAAGCAATAAAACTTCCAAAAAAAAAGGTAATTATCCCTGTCTCTCCCCACTTTGCATTTAATAATTATCACTAGAGAGAAACCAAGATGGCGGCATAGGTAAACACCTGAAATTGATGCCTCGCACAACCACTTAAAAACTACAACTAAAAGACAAAACGGACATCATCCAGAACCACAGGAAGACTGGCTGAGTGGAAATTCTACAACTGAAGGAAAGAGAAAAGCACACTGAGACTCAGAGGAGGTTCAGAAGTAAAGTGCAGAGGTACGGAGGCACACGTGGAAAGGGCTGGCAACTGAGGACACAGTTGTTTTTTTCAATCGGGAGGGAGTCTCAAGCTCCTGACTGCTCTGAACTCCAGTTCCAGGCGAGTCTCTGGGGACCCCGACTCATACGGGGAGAAACTGGACTGTCTGACATCGGTCGGAACTCAAGGGCAGCTTTCTCTCAGAGGTACTTGCAGCGATTACCGGGACACTGAGACAAGGGACCTCTTGGGGTAGGACTAAGGATCTTCCATAGCTGTTTGCTCCACCCTGTTGATTCCCTGAGAACCCACCCCAACCAAGCTGTGCCCAGAGGCTTTTGCATATGAAAGGCCTGGCCCATTGCAATCTGAAAATTACCTAAGAATGTCTCCTGTGCAATAGTTCTTCCAATGTAGACACAGCTGGAAATCACAACCAAAGGACTAGAGGTCAAATCCTCCCATTGATACCAAAAGCTATCAAGGGTTAACTACCACAGACTTTGCACACAGCCCACAAAGGAGTGCACCAAGAATGTCCACCGCTGGTGACTGGGGAGGCTGAGCCACTGGGCCCTATAGGACACCTAGCACATAAAGCCACTCTATCAACACAGGGAAGCAGCCAAAATGCAGAGACAAAGAAACAGGTCACAAATGACAGAAATGGAGGAAAGCAAACTACTGGATATAGAGTTCAAAACCAAACTTATAAGATTTTTCAAGAATTTTCTAGAAACCGCCAATAAATATAGTGAGACCCTCAAGAAATCTAGTAAGACCCTTGAGGATATGAACAAGGACGAACTAGAAATTAAGCATACACTGACTGAAATAAAGAATATTATACAGAGTTCCAACAGCAAACTAGAGGATTGCAAGAATCAAGTCAAATATTTGAAATATGAAGAAGCAAAAATCACCCAACCAGAAAAACAAAAAGAAAAAAGAATCCAAAAATATGAAGATAGTGTAAGGAGCCTCTGGGACAACTTCCAGCATACCAACATCCGAATTATGGGGGTGCCAAAAGAAAAGAGAGAGCAAGATATTGAAAACCTATTTGAAGAAATGACAGAAAACTTCCCCTACCTGGTGAAAGAAATAGACTTACAAGTCCAAGAAGCATAGAGAACCACAAACAAAAGGAATCCAAAGAGGACCACACCAAGACACATCATAATTAAAATTCCAAGAGCAAAAGCCAAAGAGAGAATCTTAAAAGCAGCAAGAGAAAAAAAGTCAGTTACCTACAAGGGAGTACCCATACGGCTGTCAGCTGATTTCTCAACAGAAACTATGCAGGCCAGAAGGGAGTGGCAAGAAATATTCAAAGTGATGAATAGCAAGAACCTACAACCAAGATTACTTTACTCAGCAAAGAATTGATGGTCAGATAAAGAGCTTCACAGATAAGAAAAAGCTAAAGTAGTTCATCAGCTTTGAAGAAGAAGAAGAAGAAGAAGAAGAAGAAGAAGAAGAAGAAGAAGAAGAAGAAGAAGAAGAAGAAGAAGAAGAAGAAGGTAAAGATACAAATTATGAACAACAAATACACATCTAGCAACAAGTGAATCTGAAAATCAAGTGAATAATTTGATGAACAGAATGAACTGGTGATTATAATAGAATCAGGGGCATAGAAAGGGAGTGGACTGACTATTCTTGGGGGGTGGCGGGGGAAAGGAGTGAGGGAGATGCAGGAAGAGACTGGACAAAAATCGTACACCTATGGACGAGGACAGTGGGTGGGGGGTGGGTAAGTGCAGAGGGTGGGGTGGGAACCGGGTGGAGGGGAACTATTGGGGGAGGGGAGGAGGAACAACTGTAATAATCTGAACAATAAAGATTTAATTTTTAAAAAATAATAATTATCACTAGACAGAAAAAAATACAGGGTTACCTGGTGGGTAGGTACCCAATGAGATCCCTTTGAGTGGGATATGGTTCTACCTAAATTCTTAGCAGCCATTTAGTCATTTGGCTTTCTGTTTGGACCTGGTTGGAGCCAGTCATTCTTTTTTTAACCTCTCTGGAGTTTAACCTATGGGAAAGCAGGGCCTGGTACAGAAGGAAGACTAATGATGTCTTGAGAGCTTTCTCTGTAGCCTTATTCTCTAAAGTTCTCAGCGCAAACATCCCTCCCACAGGACACATTTCTAAAAGAATCAAGGGGGAAATTGGACAATTAATCCAAGTTGATGGATGTCTTCAACAGGAAATTACAAGTTCTGCTCCCTACCCGCTAGGGTTCTCTCCTGGGCTATACTCTTCAGTTCATAGCTCTGGAACTAATCAACAGAAGTGAAAAATCTGAGCTTGTAGCTTCTCTTTTTGATGCCCAAGAATGTCTAGGACCTTGGAAGCTGATATTTAGGTCTTCTAAAGAGAATCTCCAGATACACCCAACAAACATTGAATCATAAATACAGGTATGGTCAGTATTACAAATAGAATGGGTATTTCTTTCTCAGTAATATATGAGTTTATATATGAGTATAGAAGAGGAAGAATCAGAAAGATTATTTTGGCATGGAAGAAAAAAGAATGAAAAAGTGGAAGGAAAGGGAAGAGAAGAGAAGAAACATGGGGTGACAGGAAAATGAAGATGCAGAGGCAGAGAGTGAGATGGAAGGAAGGAGAAAATGAGAGAGAGAAAGATAAAGTGAAGGGGTAGACGGGAAAGAGAAAGAGGTAAAAAGAAAGAAAGGTGACTCCGGAGTTAAGACAGAGACACAGGGAAGCAGAGTCTTTCAGAAGGAATCTCCACTTGCTGGATCCTAACATAGAAAACCAGGTCTGGACAGCCCAGGATTTAAGCATTCCAAAACTATTTAGGTGATTAAGCCAGGAGTTAAAGGCAGGCCTCTCCCTCACTGCAGGAGGGAGAATGAATTAACATAATCCAGAGTTTCCTAGGGATTTGAGTTTTCTTTAAGGAACACAGTAGTGTTCTTTGTAACCTTTCATTTAAAATTTTGTCTCTCATATGAAATTTAAAAATGGGTACTGAAGTCAAATCTAAAAGTTGCCATGCCATGGTTGATGGTTTGGAGCACTAACCACAGAGTATCCTTGGGGCAATAACATGTCTGAGACATCAGATTCTATAGTCAGGTCCCCAATGCCACAGACACACAAATTCTGTTTTGTCCATGAACTAAGAAAAGCTGGCTTACATTAACATACCTCATTGACAATTTTTCTAATTCCCTTATGTGGCAATATATAAGGAATATATGAAACACAGTTTAAGTTTCCCAGTTTCTGAAACAAAACATACATATTTTTCATATGACAGCTAAAAATCATTACTATAGAGTCCTTGATATTCTTATATCATAACCCATGGACACAGACAATAAATAGTGTGGTGAAGGCCTGGGGTGGGGGGCAGGGTGAGCTAGAAGGGGTCAATGGGGGAGGAAAGAGGGACATATGTAATACTTTCAACAATAAAGATTGGTTTTAATATTCCCAACAATTCTTCATCCCCAGCAGACAGAAGAGGACCATGAGGAGAGAGAATCAAAGCAGCGTGTCCCAGTTCCTCCTCCTGGGGCTCCCCATCCCACCAGGGCAGCAAGGCGTGTTCTTCACCCTGTTCCTGGGCATGTACCTGACCACAGTGCTGGGCAACCTGCTCATCATCCTGCTCATCAGGCTGGACTCTCGCCTGCACACGCCCATGTACTTCTTCCTCAGCCACTTGTCTTTCACTGATGTCTGCTTTTCATCTGTCACTGTCCCTAAGATGCTCAAGGACATGCACACTAAATACAAATCCATCCCCTATGCAGGGTGTATTTCACAGATGTATTTCTTCATATTTTTTACTGACCTGGACAGCTTCCTTATTACATCAATGGCATATGACCGATATGTTGCCGTCTGTCACCCTCTTCAGTACACCACTATCATGAGGAGAGAGCTGTGTGTTTTACTAGTGGGTGTGTCCTGGATCCTGTCCTGTTCCAGCTCCCTTTCCCACACCCTCCTCCTGACCCAGTTATCCTTCTGTGCTAACACCATTCCCCATTTCTTCTGTGACCTTGGGGCCCTGCTCAAGCTGTCCTGCTCAGACATCTTTCTCAATGAGTTGGTCATGTTCACAGTAGGGGTGGTGGTCATTACCCTGCCATTTATATGTATCCTGGTATCTTATGGCTACATTGGGGCCACCATCCTGAGGGTCCCTTCAACCAAGGGGATCTGTAAAGCATTGTCCACATGTGGGTCCCACCTCTCTGTGGTGTCTCTATATTATGGGGCAATATTTGGGCAGTACCTTTTCCCAACATTAAGCAATTTCATTGACAAGGACATCATTGTGGCTCTCATGTACACGGTGGTCACACCCATGTTGAACCCCTTTATCTATAGCCTTAGGAACAGAAACATGAAAAAGGCCCTTGGGAAACTTTTCAGTAAAGTAACATTTTTCTCACAGTAATATCTGTGACTTTTATTTAAATCAGAAACTCATTTTTGTTGATCTCACAGATCTGATTTTTCATTTGAGTATGTCTGAAAATTTTAAGGTCTCTGGAGACATAAACCCTAAGATAAATGATGGCATATTGGATGTACTTGGTAAATATTTGTTGACCAGAACTTCATTATCTTATTAACAATGCTCTACTTTATTAGTAACTTTTGATTAGCAAGTGTTGGATCAATTTTATTACTGATTTCTGCAACTTGGAGGCATAAGAGATATAATAATATACAGTGTGGTTATCTGTTATTAGAGGAGATTTTTTGGAATCTCTTATATTTTGAGACCATAAACTCAAGCTTTAACCCAAGCATCTAAAGAATTAGCTACATTATTTCTCTACACAAGCTTATGCAAAATAAATAGGTTTTCTTTTCATCTTTATGGGCCTATTGAAAGAAAGGAATCCAAACTACTTGCCACTTATATAAGAAGAAATGTATTACCCTCCACCAATGATATAAAATGTTCTAACTCTGAAGATGAAGGTCCCCTTAGGAGATCAAGACTGACCACAGGCCCCCCTTTGCCAGGTTGATATTGCTTAGCCCCCATACACAATAATTGATGAAAGCATGGTTCATGCTGTCATCCTTTGTAGATACATATGATCACATTACAGTGCATACTCTCTGCACACATCATCACTTTCCTACAAACACCACTCCAGTTCCAGCACTGACTATCCTTCATGGACATCCTGTCTTCCCAAATGAAGAAAGAAGGCAAAGCTGCCCAAGGTTTAGTGTGCACAAGAATTCCTGGAGAACTTGCTAAAACACAGGTTCCTGAAATCTACCACCATGAAGTCCAGCTCAGTAGTTCAGATTTGCACTTATGATGCTCCCACAAGATGCTGATGCTGCAGATCTGTGAACTCTGATTTGAAGAGCCTGGTGTAAAGAATTAAATTATGAAGGTATGGGATGCCAAATTATAACACCTTCCATGAATGAACTCTGGGAGTGGGGAGAGTGACACAAGG